TAATAATAAAAAAGCAGTTAAAAAGGTATATTTTAAAGACAGGAGCCAAATATTTCGTATATATAGAAATACACTTGTAATTGGATTGAGTAATTTATACGTACAACAACATAGACAAAAACACTCTAAAATTAAGCACAAAATGTCATAAAATAAATTCAGCTTGACTTCATCTTACTGTGTGATGTTTCTCACTCATGCTGAACATTTAAAAGTCTTACTCTACTTAAATTAAGCACACACTTTCATAAAATAAATTCAGCTTGACTTAATCTTACTGCGCGATGTTTCTCTCTCCTACAGAACTTTAAAAAGTCTAATTCTACTAAAATAAAGAACAGACTGTCATAAAATAATTAAACTTGACTTAATTTTATTGTGTGATGTTTGTCCCTGATACAGAACTTTAAAAAGTTTAATTCTACTAAAATTAAGTACACACTGTCATAAGATAATTCAGCTTGAATTAATTTTATTGTGTGGTTTTTTCCCCTCATACAGAACTTTAAAAAGACAAATTCTACTAAAATTAAGCACACACTGTCATAAAATAAATTCAGCTTGACTTAATCTTACCGTATGTTGTTTCTCCCTCATACAGAGCTTTAAAAAGTCTAATTCTACTGAAATTAAGCACACACTGTCATAAAATAAATTCAGCCTTACTTAAATTTACTGTGGGATGTTTCTCCCTTTTACAAAACTTTAAAAAGTCTAATTCTACTAAAATTAAGCACACACTGTCATAAAATAATTCAGCTTGACTTAATTTTATTGTGTGATGTTTCTCCCTCATACGGAACTTTAAAAAGTCTAATTCTACTAGAATTAAGCACACACTATCATAAAATAAATTCAGCTTGACTTAATTTTACTGTATGATGTTTTCCCCTGATACAGAACTTTAAAAATTCTAATTCTATTAGAATTAAGCACACTATCATGAAATAAATTCAGCTTGACTTAATTTTACTGTGTGATGTTTCTCTCACTTGCAGAACTTTAAAAAAGTCTAATTCTACTAAAATTGGGCACACACTGTCATAAAATAAATTAAACTTGACTTAACTTTACTGTGTGATGTTTCTCCCTCATACAGAACTTTAAAAAGTCTAATTCTACTAGAATTAAGCGCACACTATCATAAAATAAATTCAGCTTGACTTCATCTTACTGTGTGATGTTTCTCCCTTATACAGAAAATTATAAAGTCTAATTCTACTAAAATTAAGCACAGACTGTCATAAGATTAATTCAGCTTGACTTAATTTTACTGTGTGACGTTTCTCCCTCATACAGAACTTCAAAAAGTCTAATTCTACTAAAAACAACAAATCCAAAAATAATAGTACTAAGAAAGTAATTTCAGCAATCAAACCAAAGTATTTAAAATACGGAAACTAATTGAATGCCGGTCTTCATTACACAAACTACAATGTCCGTTTCAATTTTAATATCCGTAAAATACCGGATATTTTAAATCAATACAACATTCTGGGTTTTCATCGGAACGCCAAAATTCTCATATAATAATTTAACTCGAATTGTGGTTGACACCATGATCTCCGATACTCTTCGGCGTTATCGAATTAAAATTAACGCAGATTGGTGTCGTAAAAAATGTAAGCGTTTTTCCCTCGACCTCCCCTACCGACCAATAAGCGCATTGTAATACGCGCCGTAACCACTGAAGGACTAGATACGTTAATGAAGAACCTTAATGATGGTTCACCGACTCTGTGGTAGATAAATCGTCAGATTAGATGGCCAATAAAGTCGAGCGGTTTAATTGAACACCTCGTAATACTCTTCCCTTCCCCCTACTGTCCTTAACTCATCCCCATGAAACATATGGGGACTATGTTTTTAATCTGTGTTGTTAATGTGACATTAATTTTGAGGCAGTTTAATTAACATCGGACGGAGAAATATCATTTTGCATTTGAATAGTGTATAGACAGTTGGATATTCAGCTTTTAAGGTATTGGGATTCTAATGAAGAGCATTTAGTATCAATAAATTGACAAAAAGGAATTCACTTCAGTAAATAATTTTATCAATGTCTGAAACTGGAATTTCGTGATTTAACTTTTATCATAATTTTGGTACAAATTAGACAGATGAGTATTTGTTTATTTCTAGCATTTTTCTTATCAGAAATTATTGAATTTGAAAAATAATTTAACTCAAATTAGTTCAATAGGATATTAATATAAGATGTTGGTTTCAAACATATTTTTTATATCCTAGATACAAGTAATTAACGAACATATGGGTTTATGTTTTTTATCTGTATTATGTTGTGACATAAATTTTGAGGCAGCTTAATTAACATCGGACGGAGAAATATCATCTTGCATTTGAATAGTGTATAGACAGTAGGATATTCAGCTTTTAAGGTATTGGGATTCTAATGAAGAGCATTTAGTATCAATAAATTGACAATTAGGAATTCACTTCAGTAAATAATTTTATCAATGTCTGAAACTGGAATTTTGTGATTTAACTTTTATCATAATTTTGGTACAAATTAGACTTATGAGTATTTGTTTATTTCTAGCATTTTTAATCAGAAATTATTGAACTTGAATAATAATTTAATTCAACTTAGTTCAATAGGATATTAATATAAGATGTTGGTTTCAAACATATTTTCTATATCCTAGATACATGTAATTAACGAACATATGGGCTTATGTTTTTCTGTATTATGTTGTGACATAAATTTTGGGGCAGTTTAATTAACATCGAACGGAGAAATATCATCATGCATTTGAATAGTGTGTAGACAGTAGGATATTCAGCTTTTAAGGTATTGGGATTCTAAGGAAGAGCATTTAGTATCAATAAATTGACAATTAAGAATTCACTTCAGTAAATAATTTTATCAATGTCTTAAACTGGAATTTCGTGATTTAAATTTTATCATAATTTTGGTACAAATTAGATTTATGAGTACTTGTTTACTTCTAGCATTTTTTTATCACAAATTATCGAATTTGAAAAATAATTTAACTCAAATTAGTTCAGTGGGATATTAATATAAGAATGTTGGATGAAAATATATTTTTCATATCCTACATACATGTAATGAATGAACATATGGGCTTATGTTTTTAATCTGTGTTGTTAATGTGACATTAATTTTGAGGCAGTTTAATTAACATCGAACGGAGAAATACCAACTTGCATTTGAATATTGTATAAACGGTTGGATATTCAGCTTTTAATGTACTGGGATTCTAATGAAGAGCATTCAGTATCAGTAATTTGACAAGTAATAATTCACTTCTGTAAAATATTTTGTCTCGGAATTTGGAGATTTAACTTCTGCCATAATTTTGTTACAAGTTAGACTTGTACGTATTTGTTTATTTAGGGAATTTTTTATCAGAAATTACTCAATGTGAATATCTGTTTTTGTAGAACTCTGATACCATTCTCTCTGAATCTAAATCGTTTAATTAATTTTTTATTTGGCGACTATTATGCTTTTTGTTCATCAGTCTTTTTACATTACCTACATTTTTAACATACAGATTCATGAGAATGTCAATGTAGATAGTGTCCAAAATTCTGTAGTGTTTATTAAAGCCCAGATTATTAATGTAAAAAAGCGATAAATTTTAGTGAAATATGCCCTTTTATAGTTTTGCTGGCACATAAGCATTGTTTGATTAACCGTAAGATAACTGTTTGCCTATATATATAACACCTTATTTTATAAGACCAAATTCCTTCTTTAAAGTAATGGCTGGCTATGGGTTTGTTGCTAAAAAAATGAGTAAGAAAAGGTTAAACATACTTTCTATCGTCTTGCTGGCACATAAGCACTTATTTGTCAAAATTCAAGATTATTGTTTTTGTTTATATAACGCCGTGTGTCATTTAAATAAGGCAGGATTTCATCTTTCAAGGCCACCACGGGAATGGCTATAAATTTAATGTCACAAAAAAAAAGAAGAAAAGAAAACCGGTCCTACAACATTTAGTCACATGATCTAAGAACAATGAATCAGAGAGCAAAATATTGTTCAACAATAGATTGCGTTGTTCTTTCGTATAGTACCTCATTTTTAATAACCCTGAACTGTCAGTTGTTCTGCTACATTTTAATTTCGTTGGCAATTTTTTATTGAACAAATGACACATAATTCAATTCTTACATGCATTTACGGACACCGTTTATTTGTTTAAAATATTTGTTGACAATGAAGTAAATACTTACTTGGGATCCTCAATTGATAATTTTTAGTAAGAAAAAAACGTTAAAAATTACTATCAATTTTTGATGAATTTATATTTTTTCCAATAAAGCTAGTTTTGAAGCTTTTAATGTCGTTCGGTTAATTGCTGTATAATTAAATATGCGCTAAATCAATAATTTACATTAATTTACGTAATCACTTTCACACTCAAAATAATGTAAATAATTTGAGTGTTAAAGTAATATTTTAGAGTAGAATAAAACATTTGTTGACAATGAAATAAAATTAAACTTAATTGGGATCCTCAATTGATGAATTCTTGTAGGAAAAAAACATCATAAATTTTCATCAATTTTTGATGAATTTATATTTTTACACAATAAAGCTGGTTTCGAAGCTTTTGATGTCTTTTAGTTAATTACTGTATGATTAAATATTTGCTGAATCAATAATTTTCATCAATTTACGTAATCACTTTCACTCTCAAAATAATGTAAATATTTTAAGCATGAAAGTGAGATTTTAGAGTAAAACATGAGATTTGAAGGAGACGTCAATAGTGGTAGGTGATTCTGTCTTTTGCAACCGTAACTAAGATACTTATGGAGCTACTAATCTTAATTATATTTTGATGGGGGAATTTTATCCCAAACCATACCAAATCTTACGAGGTTATCAATTATTATATTATTTGATTTCACCAAGATAAATACATTGGTCAATAAAAATGTAGCTAAGCATACAAATTTTAAAAAAAATTATAATATTAGAAAATATATTTACTTTAGAAAATTGAAAAAAAAATTCTTTTTTATTTGTATATTCAAAATCAGTTATATACATTCAGTATTATATGCTTTAGTGTTTATATACAAATGTGCTTAAGTCACATAATGTTGATCAAAACTTATCTTTTCTTTTTCTGTAATTAATCTATAAACTGTATAATTTTACTTGCATATTGATATATACGTACATATTACATTCTTTCATCTGTTCTTTCAATAATACGATTAAGCATCTAATACACATTGTTTCATAGAAAATGTATTTATCCATGAGAAACCTATTCAAAATGATGGCACATGATTAGTTGTGTTCATATATTCAACATGAGTTCATTAAACTTTGTTATCACTAAAGTCAAGATGATAAATACGCTTAATGATTCTTTGCTTTTATATGAATATGCAAATTCTAGTCTAAGCATCGGTGAAAAATATCATGGCATTTAATATGAAAGGATATGATAATCATCATTCACCATGCATTGTAAAATGCGTTGTTTCACTATGATTTTGAGTTTTATAGTACAATTGAGGTAATTGACTGAATGTTCCTTCTATTCAAATTAATATTTGTTCCATTAAAGTTAGTGGTCCAAGAAAAATATTTCAATTGAATAGATAAGCTTTTGTCATAAAAATGGTAACTCCCTTTGTAATACCGTCCTTCAAGTCACAGTTCTTGAAGAGCTCTTGATTACATTGAAAATTCGATTGTGTGTCACAGTCCTTTCTTGATTGTTATAAATTTGCAGCTAGCTACCTTGTGATGACTAGTCTCCAAAGAGTCATACCAGCTAAAGTCATTGATTGTCAGTAGATAGCTGCCAGAAGTAAACCAGTACATAAGTCATTTGGATACCATAAAGACAGAATCGTCAATACAATAGAGATCCACATGGTTTTTTCTACGCAGCATCGAGGTGTTGGGTTTGTAACTGGAATAAAGAAGACATTTTTAGAGATAATCAAATTAAAATAAAACTATAAAAAGAACTAGTTAAAGTCTATTTTATAAATTGTTCGTTTGATAGTTGCTGTTTTATGGACTTCTGTTTATCTCAGAGTTATTGTTAATAAACATGGCGGAAGTAACGATGATATTTTCCAAAGAATCAGAAAAGCTAGATCCTGCTTCACAGGTCTGTTCAATTTTTGGAGAGCCTCAAATGTAAAATTAAAGACTAAAATAACTGTGTATAAGGCTACCGTGTATCCCGTTTTTCCTCACTCTTCCCTGGAAATCAGAAAAAGAAAAATTTGAAATTTACCAAAATAGATGCTTATGAATAATACTAAGAATCTTCTGACCCACTATATAACAAATGAAGATCTTTTAGCAAAAGTTAATATACCATCTGTTAATGAAGAAGTTTTAAAATGAGGATGGATATAGCTCGGATATAATCTAAGAACATATGGAAACAATCCTGCAAATGCTGCAAGCTCATGGGCGCCAAACGGAAAGCGAAAAAGAGGGATACCAAGCATTAAGGATGATTAGTAGAGCAGGATTAACTGGATGAGAAGAAGCACGTTGCCTGGCTGAAGACAGGAGTGTGTGGAGAAAAAGACTCAAGGCCTCTGTGCCAGTTTGGCACGAAAAGGATAAGTAAGTTATAGATAGTCAGTTTAACATTTTATTTTGGACAATGCTCGAACTGCGGACTTGTGAAACTGGTTTAATAAAATGCTCATTTAAAAAACAGATTTAGCTTAAATGAATGATATTAAAACGATGGTATAGCATCCTATGAGTACAGAGATGCCAACTGCTCCGCTTTCAGCAAAACGTTTAATAAATTGGTAGGGAATTAAATAGTAAAATTTCCAGTATAAGGATAACTAAACCTACATTTTAAAACAGTTACCACTAGATAAAATCAATGAAGTTGCATTTCTTATGATATTTTGAAGTTTCTATACGCAGAGGTGGAAAAATTACTTAAAATGAAAGATACTAAGCTAAAAATAACTTAAATTTCGTTACCAGTAGAAAATATTTTTCTTAACAAAACGAAACAAGTTGGCATCTGTGTGAGGGTATGAAAAATTAAACATAGCTGAAAATGTGCGAATAAGATAGGCTTATCATGCTATGCGCGTGTGAAAAAATAAACATACTCAAATACATGAAAAAAAAGCAAAGCTCAAGTAGAAATAGCTTAAATGAGTCTTAAGGAAAATGATGGCATAGCATGTTTGAAAAATTAAACATATCTCACAATGCGTGAAGAAAATCGATATATCTTATTGAGAAAGAGAGCGATAAAAATTTTTATAGCTTGAAATGCTCGTTTAAGAAATAAGTGTGAAATGTACGTTTAAAAAAAAATGCTTAATATTTTTTAAGAAAATTCTCAAATAATTTAATTCTAGCTTTTATGTTACTATTATGACTATTCCATTTTAAAATTTTTATTAACAAATGAATAAAAATTATTCGAAGTGCTTAAAATGACTAAAATAATTTTTTGATTTATTGTGTACACAGATTTAAAAGAGTAACATAAGTGTTAATATAAGTATATCTTAAGTGTTATCAGGGTTTGCAGTTTAACATTTAAAATTTACATTTTGTGCTATGTTTAGTTTCGTTAACCCTTTGAGACCCAGGATGCTCTATCCTGCGGTTTATTTATAAACCCAATATGTAAATAGTGTTTAGATATTCATTTTGAAACACGACTAGACTGAGAAATTTTTTTGTCCTCTAATAGCTGCTATTTTAATATTAATAATGTCCATTACAAACTTAAAATTAGATCTTAAATTTAATTATGTATTCGTGTTCATATGGATTATCTTCAATTTCTTAGATTAATGCTCGTAAAAGAATAACTTTCTTAGCCCTTTTTACGTTTTTAGCTATTTATACTAAACAAAAAAAAAACTTTTAAATTGTGTTAGGTGTTGAAGGGTAAAGGTGCTCCTTTTGAGGTACGTTTTTTTTAAATCGTGCATATCAAACTATATTCATTTATTCAAACGCACAATTAAAGTTATGCCTTCCGGAAATGTTAATTTTGAGCTATGTTTTTTGGAGTTATGCTAATTTTCTTAAACATTTTTAGTTCAACAGGAAAAGTTAACGAACAAGAAATGTTACTAACGTTAGATGTTAGTTTAGTAACAAAACAAATCACCGACTTTTTTTAAAAATTTGTTTTCACTAAGCACAGTTTTTCTGATATATACTAAAATTTGGGCTAATTATAGTATTGCAAACTAAATGCGTGGACTTACTAATTAAATTCTAAAAGTGGTAAGCAGTGTAATTTTCAAAGATAAAAAAAAGAACTTCAACACTGTTTTTCGCTTAGATGTATCAAAGGAGTAGTACTATAATAGAAACTAAACACATGAGGAAAATATCCTGTTGGCTTTTAGCAAGGGAATATTGAAATGACTCTTAACACTTTGAAAAAAATGAGACGCCAATGTGTCCTAAACAGAAAAAAATTTAAAATAATTGCCTACTTTAAACTTTAAAAATATCAGAGAAGGAATTAAGATTTTAAACTGTTTTTTTTTTCATTATGTCAATTTTAACTTTTTTAAGCTTGTTATTTCATTAATCTTTGATAGACAAATCACAATTAAAAAACACTACGGAGTAATAGTAAGAAATGAATGAAAACTTTATTTAACTGAAATATTTTTTTTTAGTCAAAGCAGGTTAGATTAAACGTAGTGATATGTATTTTCGTCCCGCAGTGGACTGATTGTTAAGACACGGCTCCCAGCAGATCACGCATCACTGGCTACGGTCAGTGTGCGGGTGTGTGACCACTTGGATCAGTCTGCGTAGGAACAGAGGGTGTGCGGTATTGGTCCTCGTTAAACTGTTCTACCGTAAAGTGCTCGACTTCGCGTGCAGGTCGTCGAGCTACCGAAGAGGGGGTGCCATCCCATCTGCAGAGGATCAAAATTGTGATGGCATGTCTTCGGATCATCCTCAGGGATGTTTCCCAGACCGTCGCCAATAGCCCATTGTGCAGCTCTAGTGCGACGTAAATGAACTACAACAACCACAACAACAAATATGTATTTTCAACAGGGTGGCGACAATCAAAGAAAAATTTTAAAAAAGTTATTTTAAACATAGTTTCCACGATTTGCACAGCCCAGACTTGCAAACACCTCCGAATTTGACAAAATATTAAGAAAACGGTACAGAACTACAAATTAAAATGTGTAGATATTTCGTAAATTTTGCCTTTTTTAAAAGGCTTAGCTTTATTGCTTTATTGAAATTACATACATTTGCAGGATTGTGTGCTCAATTTAGGCTTATAAGCCTTTGCCAAGAAGAAAGATAGACTGAACAATTCAGAGAGGGACATCACGAAGAATACATCTTTGGTTACGGCGGCATTCGAACCCGTTACCTCCACGCTTTGCGCTTAGCTGTCACAAAGTGGTGTAGTATCACATAAGCTTTTCAGTAATTAAGAAGTAGTGATAAGTAAAAACCCTATAAATCGAATTTACTAAACCAAGAATCATACATTTAAACCTTACCATTCGAAAATATTTATCCGCTGAGCAAGTTTAAATCCTTTCTATTATTATTTCGCCCACAAATAAATTGTTGAAGGGCCGGGATAGCCTGGTCGGTGGAGCGATGAATCCATGTTCGAAAGTTCGTGGGTTCGAAACCCGCCGACCGAAGACTCCCAGTGTAGTAAAATGACTGATGCACGTTAAATGTGTCGAGTTGTAAAAATCCTTCATCTTCCCATAACAAATCAGTACCTCTTAGTACTGGATTGGAGATCGATCGTTCTCTAATTCAGGTCAAAATTACGAGCTGTGGATCAATGAAAGGATGTATGAATAGATGCGCCCTATAAACGGGTGTGACGAATGGTGTGGCAGAAGTTGAATTCTTGGCCATAGATGGCGCCACTGGAAAACAGGAACAATCACACCCCCTCTGCCTAAAACAGGCATACGTCAACAGCAACATAAATTGCTGAAGAAATAGTTCGGCTATTATTTTTATCGTTTTACCTTGATTACTTCTTTCCCCGCTTAAACTGAATTTCATATGGCAGAAAATTATATTTTGAATTAGGAAATCTTAAAAATATTTTTTAATGTCGATTATGGGACGAGATGATTATGGGACGAGTTGGTAGAGCACTGGACTCGTGTTCGTGAGAACGGGAGTTCGAATCCAGCTATCCGAAGACTCTCCGTGTAGTAAATGGTGACTGATGCTCGTTAAATCTGTCGGGTCACAAAGTCATCCGTGTTCCAATAACAAATCAAAACCTCTGGGGGTACTGAAGTTGAGATTGATCGTACTCTGGTTCAGGTTAAGCGCCTTTCAAGCAGGTGTGAATTATGGGACGGAAGTCGAATTCTTGGCCATAGATGGCGCCACTTGAAAACAAAAACAATCGCACTTCTTGCCTTAATTTCTTACGACAACAATGTATATTATAATTTATTTTTGCTGCATCTAATCATTCTATTTTTTACTTTTTTCATCGCAGCTTAAAAGTTAACTGAACTATAAAATCTAACTAGCTTTTCAAATTTCTCAAAATATGTCAACATTTACCTTCATTACTTCTTAATAAATAAAAGATTATTATAAATATTTTATAATATTTTAAAAAGTTATTTTGTTTCTCTCTTCTTTCCTAAAGTATTTCTTAGCTTTAGAAATGAACTCTGAAATATTTATTATACTATGAGAAATTCTGCAAAGGAAACGCTTAACATTATTAACGCTTAACTGGTCAGTGCCACCATATAAGCGGAATGACACTTCATTTATTGGATCAAATACTGCGCGTACGATAACTAAAATCATTTTATTTTCTCTCCACACTTATAATTTTAATTACTTATATAAATATAATTGATACTATAATTAATCTTTACACTAAGCCTAAAGAGATTCTAACTTCTCCGGATTCGATAAAATATTTTAATAAACGCTAGAGAACTACAAACTAATTTCCGGCTAATTTTGTCTTCTTTTAAAAAGGCTCAACTCGGTTTAACTGTAACATAGTGCAGATTTGTCAACTGCTCTCGATACGGCAAAATATTTTTAAAAACGGTAGAGATCTACAAACTAAAATTTGCGAGCCGTTATGGCTCAGGGGATAAAACGTTAACCTTCCAATGAGGTAAACTGGGTTCGAATCCCAGCAATGGCTGGTAGTTACGAATTCCGCACCCGACTCGCATCGACCACAACGCTGTCGTAAAAATATCCTTAATTGTAGACGGATCATGGGTTAGAGTTTCCTAGCCATCATGCTATCAATGGGAGATTTTCGTGGTTTTGCTCTCCGTGTAACGCAAATGAGGGTTAGTTCCATCAAAAAGTCCTTCACGAAGGCAAATTTCTCCTTATACTTGATATAGAAGCTCCGTTGTCTTCTGGTTTGGATTCAAAATTACGGATCCAAAAGTGGACTGATCGTTAAGACACGGTTCCCAGCAGATCACCGAAGTCAAGCATCACTGGCTGCGGTCAGTGTGCGGGTGGGAGACCACTTGGAACAGTCTACGTAGGGACCGAGGGTGTGCGGTATTGGTCCTCGTTAAACTGTGCTACCGTAAAGTGCTTGACTTCGCGCGCAGGTCGTCGGGCTACCGAAGCCGGGGTGCCATCCCCTCCGCAGAGGATCAAAATTGTGATGGCATGTCTTCGGATCATCCTCCGGGATGTTTCCCTGACCGTCGCCAATAGCCCATTGTGCAGCTCTAGTGCGACGTAAATTAACAACAATAACAACAAAAATTACGGAGTTGAACATTAGTAGTCGTAAACCCAAAATTAGGTCGGCCATTCCCCGACGGTTATTAAAACAAATTGCAGATTTTTCGATTAATTTTGCCAAGTTTTTAAAAGGCTCAAAGTGGCTGAATTGTAACGAACTGGTGTCTCACATAAGCCTTTGAATTACTTAGAAAAAGCTGTGAGTAAAAACCTTATTAATCGAATTTATTAAATCGAGAATCGTTCATTGAAGGACTACCACTTGAAAATATTTATCCACTGTCTTGAGCCAGTTGGCATCTCTGTACCTGGTGAGAAGTAAATTAGAAATACATCTGGGTCATTAAGAGTTAATATTAGGTTCATTTAATCACTCAAAACTTTTAATTTTTAAAGAATTTGACACATGTCTAGAAAATCGGTCACTGTTAAATATGCTGCAACTGGCCACTGTCCAGTAACAAAATTTCCTAATTTTGCCTTATACCTTGAGGCTATCCAAAGTAATTCGTAAATATTCCTTAGCTTGACAAATCCATCTTTTAAGGAAAAAAAGATTTAACTTAAATTTTATAGTATTCTTTGTTAGGAAAAAAAACTTTTAAATTATAAAAAAAAATGTGTCTTATAAAAAAAAACTAAAATATGTGTCCGGATATATAATTAGAAAGTATGAAAATGCTTTAATTGCGCTTGAAATCTCAGAAAATTTAAAATTCTATAATTATGACAGCTTTAATGCTGAACACTATTTTTTTTCTTACGTTTATACCGAATTAAGTATTTTTTGTCAATATAGTTAGCATTTTATAACATTCTGTTTCTAATTAGAATTTTGTCTTTTAAATTATTTGCAGTAAGTCAAGTCAACGTTTTCCCTAGTATTTTAGATTGAAGCAAGTATTAAATGTAAATTCATTTCAGGAAAAAATTCAGTTCATTCCTGTAATAAATAAGTATACTCGCATAAAAATTGGCAAAACATAGTTAATTAATAATTTAATATCATTATGTGGTTTAATATTAAAAATTTAAAGTTCAACATTAATGACAACTTTGATGCTGAACACCATTTTTTCCCCTTCTGTTTATACTAGATTTAGTATTTTTTGGCAATATAGTTACCATTTCATAAGATGCACTTCTTAATTTTAATTCGGTTTCTTAAAACATTTGCATTAAGTTCATTCAAAATTTTTCCCTATTATTTTAGATTGAACTAAATATTAGATGAAAACACCTTTCAAATAAATACGTTCATTCCTGTTGTTGTTGCAGTTCATTTACGTCGCATTAGATCTGCACAATGGGCTATTGGCAACGGTCGGGGAAGCATCCCTTAGGATGATCCGAAGACACGCCATCACAATTTAGATCCTCTGCAGAGGGGATGGTATCCCCGCTTCAGTAGCCCCACGACCTGCACGTGAAGTCGAGCACTTTACGTTAGAACAGTTTAACGAAGTCCCATACCGCACACCCTCGGTCCCTACGCAGACTGATCCAAGTGGTCACCCACCCGCACACCGACAGCACCCAGTGATGCTTGAGTTCGATGATCTGCTGGGAACCGTGTCTTAACGATAAGTCCACTGCGGCACCGTTCATTTTTTTAATAAATAAGTACCCACGCAGAAAAAGTCGCTTATCATTGTACCATAATATTGGTACCATGAATCATAATACGGTCAAATTTTTTGTACCTTTATAAAGTGTACCTTCTGCAAGTTGAACCAAAGCATCATGTAAGCAAATTTCAGAACTATGCTTGAACTTAAAGTTATAAAAAATTCGCAGCTATAAACTGTGTTATGACTCAACCTATGTACTTCAAATTTCTAAAACTTCATGTAATTTCTTACATACCTGAAACAGTGTTTTCAGAAACGTGAAATCCTGAGTTTTGCTGATTTCCTCCAACTACGGTAACATCACTGCTAAGGCTCACAACTCGAGATAATGTAGCTGTACATTTTAATCTCAATTCATCACCTTTGAACATATTTTGTTGAACACGAAAACGTAGACCTAATACTGTTGCTTTTAAGTCATCTCTGTAAACTATAGGAGGATGGGGTGTTGTTTTGTTTGCAAGCACCTAAAAATTAAGTAAATAAATAAATTATTTCGATTTCATAAATGCAGGAACATACAAGGTCAAGGTATTTTTATACTATTCAAAATGTATGTTTATATTAATGTACGATGTTTAGAATCTTTGAGGATAGGCTAAGAGCTAATGGGGCTAGAGCACACGACCAGTTTTAATCAAAGCAAATGCTGATCAATTCGAAATCTATTCCTGGCTCGCACCGACCGGAAGCAGATTTGAACAGCTGCTGATGTAAAATATCCTTAGTGGTAGAGAGATCATAGGTTAGAATCCCCCTTGGACAAGCCGTGGGAAGTTTTGTGGTTTCCCATTCAAAGTTAGTTCTAGCAAAGCTTGAAACGATAGCTTCTACAACTTGCTTTTACGAAAGCTAGTTTAACCTGAAGCTTGATTCATGATTTTTTGGGTTGTGTTCAAAATTATAAGCTACGGAGTTGAACACAGAGGACTCTAATTCCAAATATGGGTCGGCAGTTCAAAGTGAAATAAAACATAATAGGGTTTGCACGTCAATATTTAAGACTGGAAAAAAACAACATTGCCGAAAAAGAAGAGGTGCTGGAAAACATCGATACCGGTTTGATTGTCTGATGATAAAAATTAGAAGGTGTTTCCGAAAAAAAAAAGTTTTTTTTTCTGTCTTTAAAACATGTTTGATTTTTTTCAGTACTGCCTTCTTCAGTAGTGGTTCAAATTTGTGTTTGCTTTTTCGTCATTTAAATATTATTTTGAGAACCGCATTCGGTTAGTTATTTTTGCTTTATTTTCGTGATTGATTCTGAAAATGCCTATTAAGTGTAGCTATTATGAATACCCTTCTAATTTAGTTGCTAAGAGAATGTTTAATTTAATAGGTACAATTCGCATTAAAGAAATTGTTTTCATAAACGGTTTTTGGTAATAACTTTATAACCTATTTATTAATGAAAACCTGTATTGTCGTATTACAAGTTATTAAACATTACATGTATATTAAAAATATTTTTTCGAAAAAAAGGCTATTGAAAAATATATTTTGAGACGTAGTTTCAATTCTAATTTTTTTTACATAATTTAACTTTTTTGCTATTAAATTTTTCATCAAAAGTTTTAGCTGTCTTCAGTATTAAAGCAAGATAACACTAAAACACTTGCTTTGAAAAAAAAAACTTATGTCTTGCCTTAGTTTAACGCTTTAATGGGCCATTTATTTCTAGTGAAGGTGAATTAAAGTATTTTTCGAATTGAAATTGTTTTAAGAACAGTAATTGATGTAAGGAGAAAAAAACTAATTCAGTTTTTAAAAATGCCATTTTTTTGGTGGTAAATATATTTAACATGCGCTATTAGGAGCTTATTGACTTTTATTTATAAAATACATTTTTTAAATGCTACAAACTTCAAAAGGAATTATGTATTTTATAATCTTTATGCATTTTTTCAAAGCAACTATAGCTGCCAACTCTTCCGGTTTTCCCGGAAGATTTTATTTCCATATTTAAAGTGGTAGCGAAACTAATGTTGTTCCAATAAATTTTGAATTATGATAATAATTATAAATGAGTTTGGCTACCACTACATATAAATAATTACAACAAATATATAAAAGCATATTAGTCTTTACGATAGCGAATTACAACCTGTTTAAAATATTAATATATTTTTGAGGAAGATAGTTTTTCGGTCATTGTTTTACTACCACTTGGAAAATCTATTCTCGAAAAGAGTGAATGTTGGCAGGTATGAAGCAACAAATTATAACCAAATAATAATATTCAAACGCACTTCAAGAAAGCTGAAGTTATTAACAAATATAAACCTAAATTAAAAGTTGTGAAACAGTGGTGGTAAGTATACTTACCAACGCCTTTGGAAGGGTTAAAAGTAACAGTACTAGTAACAGTAATAGTAACAGTACTATAGATCAACAAAAATGTTTTCCCTACTGCTGATAGTTGTAAAGATATAGTTATGAAAGATCATGTGCATACGTCCAAACAACTATCATGCATCGCCCGAATGGGCGACTGCAACTACATCTCAAAAACACAAAATCGATATCTTAAAAAACAAATTACTACGATATATGCTAAGCATACTGAGGTACATGACCAACGAAAATATATGCAAGGATATAAAAATGGACAAACACAGTCATTACATTTAAAAACTTAATTATTTGTTTTACAGAAAAGCCAATGACAGCAACACTGCTAATTTCAACACAATTTTTCAACCGGAACGTATCGCCGCAACAGCCAAATACAAAGATGCCAACTTGCTCCGTACAGTGGATAAATATTTGGAATGCATAATAAATAGTAGTGGAAGTCTTTTAATGAATGATCCATGTTTTAGTCAATTCGATTCATAGGGTTTTGACATCACCTCCTACATCAGAAAGCCTTCACGCGGTCTTTTATAAGTAGTCCGCGCAGACTGTTTAAAAAGTGAACCAGTTTTGCGCATGAACCCAAAACCTTTTATAAAAGTTATTGAAAGAAATATATCATATATATTTGAGATTTGAATCTGTAGTGGTGGACAAGTGAATGAGTCAAAACAATAATGTTCATAAATAAAACAAATTTTTAGTCATATATTTGATACCACTTTCTTATGTTAACTAGATTTTGTATTAAGTGACTCGTTCGGTAAGTGGATATCCGAGCGATATTCGAACTTTTGACGTCGGTACCTCAGAGATGTTTGTCGTGGATGAGTGACGGAACGGTGACGTTGCCCGAGGTGTCGAAGAGGAAGAGGATGTCTTGATTTTGCTGACTGCATTTGACCATTTTTCCTTCGAGTGAGTCGTACCTATTTCATTCTCTTGCAATTATGTCTGATTTTAATAATTCTGAATTGATTTGAGAGTTTGAGTAGTTGCAAATTATGTAAAGGTTTCTGCCTGCAAATTGTAGTCATCAATTTACGCAACCATACCGATTAAGCTGATAATTCAACTACGCTACAATGGCTACTTATCGTCATCATGGACGTGGCGGTAAGCGGCTGACTGAAAGACAAGCACGTGACTCAACGACGGATGAGGAATGCACGGATTTTGAAACCAAAATGGCTAAAGAGTTTGCAGACATGGAAAGGAGAATTAAAGAAGATGAAATGAAAAATAAAGAACTACTTGAGAAATTAAATAAGTTGGAGCAGTCTCTCCTGCCTGTGTCAAATAGGCCTGAAATGCCGATTGCAACAGTTGATGTCACTGACATGGAAATTTATGAAGGCGGCCAACTTTTGGAACAGACGGGGAAAGCGTCAACCATTGATTCAGAAAGCTCAACCAAAAATAACACAGAACCCCCTCCGAAAAAACGAGAAAAAGAAGATGAAAACGCAATTCAACGTCAAAAAAACGGAAGATAATCTAATCATGACTACAACAAGCTGCCATTCTTCACCGACAGATACCGCCACTTTCTCACCACTACCAGATTCTTGCTTAGCTCCACCCATGGAGGATTCAAATGAAGCTACAGCTCCACCCACAACTCCAGTAAAAGTGCTAACAACCAAGCATATTAAAGTCTTAATTCGTGGACTCCCAGCTGAACTAAACACAGAAGATATCTCTCATGAATTGGGGAAAGCAGGCATCTCAATCCAAAAAGTAATACAGTTTAAGAGAAAAGTGGGCGAGGCCTATCGGCTCCTCCCACTTTTTCTCACAATTCTTATAGAAACAGAAAATAACCAACAAATCTTCTCCGTCACCAGCATATGTGATGTCCCGGTCAAAATTGAAAGGTTCCGCGGCGGGAGAGGCCCGATTCAGTGCTTTAACTGCCAAAATTTTGGCCACACTCAAAAAATATGTAATTCACCTCCAAGATGTGTTAAATGTGCCGCAGAACATCGATCTTACGAGTGCCACAAGGACATCAACACTCCACCTATGTGCTGCAATTGCGGGGAAACCCACACTGCCAACTACACGGGGTGTAAAGCCCGTCCCCCCAGGAGGGGCCCTCGTGCCATTCCATTCACAACTACAGGACAAGCTCACAGATTGGTAACGATCATCAAAGAACTTCATGATCTTTTAAAAAACAAAGAAGTGTTCCAGCTATTACAATCGATCATGAGGGAGACCACTCCTGGTGATATCTCTTGCCTTAGTTAGAACTCTTATTTTAATCACAGAACTCTAATTTCGTATTTCCACACTGCTTATTTAACAAATATAGAATGTTTTCAGTTTATTCAATTTCGAGTTGCATACATCAGATGGTGCCACTAAAGTTTGGCAAAACCAAAGATTTATACAGCTCGACTTATGTTTTTATCTATGTATCATCTCGTTCAATAATTTTCAATTGCCTAATTTCCATTTCACCTTTCATATTTCTATGCATAATATTCATATCAAGCTGCATTTAATTACTATTACACATTTCTCAAATTTGGTTGAATTCATGTTTCTTTTGCAAATAATGATTAACGTATCTATCTCCAATAATGTTTGTAAATAAATACCAACGTATATTTTTCAAATCATGCCTGTATATAATTATCATATTTCTTTGTAATACAAAATGTTTTTAATTTATCAAGCAAAGAGCTTGACTTTTTTTTAAAAAGCTAGCATAAAAAAGTTACACTGCATTTTCAAATCAAGCTATTGCACATTTCACTAATTATGTTTGAATACAATGTTTCTTTTTTATTGATCAAGGTTGCAAATAATGATTAATGTATCTATCTCCAATTATGTCTGTAAATAAGTACCTATGTATATTTTCAAATCATGCCGGTATATAATAACCATCTTTAAATTGATTGTAGTACAAAATGTTTTAATTTATCAAGCAAAACGCTTGACTTTTAGAAATAGCTGCCATACTGTTGCTAAAATCAAAATGTCTTTAAATCAATGTATATAATATTTCATGATGTATGGGATAGGGGCCGCTGCGCGGTCCAGGTGCCCAGTTTTTGCGAAATAAAGAAGAAAGAAAGTGGATATCCTTCACAATGGTCAGATT